AGGTGGAGAACAAGAGAAAGAAACAGCACGCCAAGAAGACGGATAAAGAACATAATCAATACACGTGTTATATATAGTAGTTATAGGAAAAGCAACACGAAAACATAAGAAAGAGTTTGAAAGACTTCGAACTCTGTACATTTCTGAAGATACAAGAAAATTCAAATTTAAATCAGCACATAAGACAAGTGAAGAAGAGATAGACAGATATTCACAAACAAAAGATTCAAGTACATTGAGAAAGAAAACGACAGGAACATTTTGAGGACGATAAGCGTTACATAGAAGAAAATCCACAGAAGAGGAATGTACATGAAGTAAAAACGCTTCAATAACATCTGAAGTTGCAAGAACAGAAAAATGAAAAGAGGAGGAGATGAACGTACTCACTAAAAGAGAATAGAGTTTTATCTCGAATGAGACTAAAGTTTATCGGTAGACTTTGTATATTATGCGATAATAAACGAAGTTTATGAGATAGTGAAGGATTTGATTTTGTTTTGGCCCGAGTCGCGACGTGTCAGTGGTAACCGCCTGCTGACAGCGATGCTCCCCGATTTCGTTGGGATGATGAATTTTGATCCTGATTTTGTTTAATAATATTATTATTTCTAGATAAACGACGCGAAGAACGATCAGGAACCGATTTCTGTTGAACGAACGAAGCAGGAGAATCTGGATACGATTGAGCTGACTGTTGCTGAGGATGATGTTGAATATTACCCGATTGTTGTTGATTATTATCGGGTTGTTGTTGATGATTATTTTCAGATTGTTGTTGAAGGTGTTGTTGATTATTAGCGGACTGTTGTTGATGATTATTTTGTTGAATTTTTCGTTGTTGACGTGTCTCATAAGCCGATTGCGATTGAAGTTTGGTTAAGTGTTTACCAATAAAAACACTCCTGACAGAAACATCCGATGACTTTTTGAGAGCAGAGGCTTTGGATAGAATAGACGAACGAATGCACAGATCGTTAAACGATACACCAATGATCGGCGGACGATTACTGTTTAATGCTACCGGAAAGATATTCTTCACGACGATGTTTTTGTTTCTTTTATCACGTTCAGTTGTTTCAACTAACTCATTAAGTCTTGAAGTAATCAGTTGTTGTAGATCACTAATTCCGATTAACTGATGCTCAATTTTGTCAATTCTCGCCGCTAACATTTGGAGACACTGAGGCGGTGGTAAATCGGCTCTGGCTGCTGGTTCACACGAGGGACAGAACCAGTTTGAATATTGTTTTTCATCAGCAAGTGTCTGATACGCTTTGTATGCCGGAATGGACACATTCACGCAGCCAATGTGAAACCACTTATTACAACGATCACAGCATAACGCATTCGCATCGTCGTTAACCGTGTTTTGACACGAACAAATAACTCGCTGATTGTCTTGAGATCGTGGAGAATTCGGTTTCGGACGCTTAGGAGCGGACGGCATGTTGTAGTAAATGATACAAATCTCTTTAAAATAATTGCGGTATAAGCGGAGAAAAAAATTAGATAAGACGACGAGAAGAGTAAGCAATCAGTAATAAAAAAAACAACACACAAAGCCAGCTGTATCTGAAAGTATAAGAGGTTTCGCAAATGCTCGACCTCTCTTTATAATGTGTTTAATATAAGGCTCAAGCCTAACGAGCCTACAGGCTCCGCCGCCTATGTCTATATCTGGCCTTGGTATCGTGCGAAACCGGTGTTATTATAGATATTGATTGATACTGCTGTATACCTAACATGCAGCCTCTTCCACTCAGTGAAATTCGACAGCAAATTCTGGATAATTTCCCTTGCTGCAAGGATGGAGCTAGCAAAAAATAATGTCTGCTGGTGTAGTTGTGCAGCTCTCCTTTATCTCCCCTACAACATGATTGTTCACTATCAGCCAATAGAAAAATAGAAACAATGATGTCGCTTGAAGTTGACAGAAGTTCAGAGAGAAATTCTATACACAATACGCCAACTCTGAATGGTACTGACAGTCGACGTTACGTGGTCCGTCGATTAGTATAGTTTGGTGTATGTGTTTGAGTTAAACTTAGAAAATCTTTTTTATTTATTTTGCGCTCATAGTGGCAGCCACTGAGTGGCTGACGAACAAAGACTTCAACCCTTCTATATACGTTGTAGGGATGCACTGAAACGGGGTACTCGATAACCGAAACTTTAGTATAGAATTGTTGATCATTTTACAGTAAATCCAGGTTTTATATTGTATAGAAAATGCATTCGATTTTCTGAAATATCGATTTTGTAGGGTTGAATATTTTTAAGAATTTTCTATAAAAATTTCTAAAAGCTATTGCCTGATTTTCCATAAAAACGGCCCACTTTCTAAAAAATTAACAATTTTCAAGAAATTCAACGATTTTCTAGAAAATGACATTCTGTTTTTCATAAATTAAAAAATACCATTTCTTGTAAGAAAAAACGAAAATAAATAGATAACAGGAACAAAAACAGATTGATCTGCTTCGGCGACTTCTTTCTCTGGAAGAGGAGCCAATGTACCTTGGAACTTGGGCGAGAGATGCCTTCTGTTCTTTTCTAAAAAGTAAGGCCTTACAGGATTATCTTCAGCGCATTCACCGTTAGTCCAGTGCATGACTATATGTAAAACGACACAGACACAGCGACGGAAGGGAAGTCTTCCTTCACCCATCTTATTAAAATTAAAACAAATTCTGCTATACAGAACAGGTTGCTCGATATTCTCAG